TGGAAGCTAATCTATTGCAACAGGCATATTTTGGATCGAAATACTAGGAAATTGTTATGTGAATCTCTCATAGTTTAACTGTTGCAAATTTTTATATGGACCTTACCCGGCACAAATCGATAAACATAAAATTCTAAAAATACAACATTCCTGTTATCGTTATTATCGATATTAGAAAATTCTAACCTTTACCTTAACTTATTATAAGTTAAACTCGGTTTAGCCATAATTTTTTTCCAGTCGATTAGCCTGAATAATCTAAGTTGAAATAAAAATAACTTAATTCGTTAGAATTTTTGCGCTGTTTAAATTCATAGAGTTTGAGTATGAATAGTACGCCCCTGCGGATAACAACAGCTCAACGTAATTAAAATTTGATTTTTTTTCTTCAATTTAATAAAAGTCGCTATTTATCTATGATTTACTTAAGACTACTAGAAAGTAAAGGAAAAATGGTGCATTTATTTTTTACTCAACAAAACTATAAAACAAAACTTTAAAAGTTTTATATTAACTTACGCCTTTTAATACCTAATAGAACACTTTTTAAAAATATGTTCAAATCAAAATAAATTTGTATAATTTGTCCCATTTTTTTTGCATAAAAATGAGAAACTGTAGTTACTAAGTTATTAAAAAAATCGTGTTTCAGAATAAGGAATAATTTTGCGGATATTCAATATGCAGATTGTGCTGACCAAGACGGATATGGTTATAATATGTATACTCCCCCAAAAAGGTTGACCGTAAGGATAACTATACAGGGTACGTCAGACCTTATGTTATGAAATATGTCAGTTAGTTCAAAATTGAGATTGCCTCCAAGTGTTCTTATTTTCATTTTGAGTTGCTACAATGGACTAAGTAAATTCCAAAAATCTTTATAGTATAACTCTATGTACAGCAGTGCAGAAAGAGGCAATTTTATTTTAATATAGAGTAAATTTAAAAAAAAGTTGGTTTTCCCTTTTACTTTTGATTGAAAGTTGTTACTGAGTTTCGTTTCAACAATAATTCATATTTTCAGACCACAAAATCTCAGACATTTTGGTATAATAAAAAAAGCTTGCAACTTTTCCTATACGATTATGAGGTAACGTTTACTTAAAAATAACAATTTTGCAAAAGGTATCTAGTTGTATCGAGGTAAACCCACAACTTTTCCAAAAATGCTATCTTGTGGTCACATTTGATAAAGACACGGTGTTGTCGAAACAATTGTCATGTCATAATATATAATTTCGTGAAAATCTGAACTTTTAGTTCTTATTTATTCTGATAAATGGATTTTCATCAAGTAAAAGCCACCTCAGTTCAACTAGGAAGTATGCGTTACATGCGTGTTAAAATACGCCAATAAAATTCTTTTTCATTGCTCTGAAATCATAAGCTGCTAAAAGCTGCAGGGAATTCCATGCAAGAAAATTTGCTGGACATGGAGGAAACAAATTGTAGCCATATTTCACAATCTTTGCAGTATTTTGTGTTACTACTAAAAAAAGGTGTTCACAGTTTACTACAAATCACGCTATCGAGTGAAATAAAAGTCAAAAAGTGAAATGTTCTTTGCCAAATGTTTGTTATTATTACTATCTGCCTTCTTCCACATGTTACCAATTTTTCTAATTAAATTTTTGACCAAACGTGAATGAAGTTAGAATTATGTTTTTATTTGTAGTTAGGTTAGGTAGAAGAATTATCCTTATTTATTCTAAGGAAGGTGATGAATATGCCTAAACGCCACCAATAGAACCAAAAACGTACCTTGCAACATATGTTTCTGGCAAATTCTCAACAAAAAAAAAAAATCAACCAACGAACGCCGTTATCTGTACTGGGCGTAAAAAGGCCGAAACAGCGTTTGAACCGACCGAAAACAACAACCGATCGAACTTTGTAATGTTAGACTAATCTAACCAAACAACGCGCACATTTTTCCCAAATTAATTGCAAACAGTTTGCGAAAAAATAGGCAATCGCACAATAACAACGTTGTTTGGTGTTATAATTTGAACGAAACGTTTTTTGTTGTTGCGAGAATTTTCAAAATGTTTGAAAATTTCATGGTCGATCCGAAACCAATCTTTAAACTGTCCAAATATGGATATTTAGTATTTAGAACGAAAATTCATTTTGATGTATTATTTGGGATCATAAACAAAGAAATAATTACAGTCACTAATAAAAAAAATCACCCCAGTCGCAGGGGATCATTTGGAGAAAGCACTCAATATCTCTTAACAGCTCTACGAGACGAATGGGAATAGACCCCAGGTAACATGAAAAAACTTAACGTCACACCAGTCCCATGAAGACTGCACAGAGTAAACGACTGCCTAGGAAATATTAAAAAACATTGAAATTAAAGATATTATAGTTTATGTGTTCTGAGTTTCATTTACACCACACTATATTTTTAATTTAATAATACAAAAAACTCGATGCAACCCAACGTAACGGTTCAAGGACATCTGATTCGTTGCAATTCGCGGTTAAACAATATCGAGTGTTGCGCAATAGCCTCCCTCCCCGCGCAGATTGTTTAAACGTCGTCTATTTGTTTTGGACTCCAGGTAAAATTGAGCGATGCGCCGAAATATTCACGACGAATCCACGCTAATAAATCGAAGGACGAGTTTTCGGCGCTTACGCTGTTATCGTATTGACCGAATTACTCAATTAAACCAAATTCGTGGTAAACATTCTGCATTCGATAATGAGATATTTCGGACCGCGGCCATTTATCGCAAACTTTCACGTTTGTTAAAATTAAACGAGGCCACTACGCCAATTAAAAGTTATTAAATAGAAACACTTGTTTTTGTTACCTCACTACTAGCGGAATGGGTTTCGTCTCGCAGGCTTCCACAACCCTGCGAATGTTGTACTCGTTTGTTGATACCTTAAATCGAAAATTTGGTTTGACAAATGTACTCGTTTTTAATAACAGAAAATGCAATTTTTCACATAATCGAATAAAACTGCTATAAAATTATTAGTTAAACGGCGAAAATAATACTTTTTAGCAGTAACAGGGCAATTAACCTCTCTTGCGCTCTACGGTTCGAACATAATTCTTCTTCTTCTTTCTAGGCGGGCGTCACGGCCACGTAGCATCAACATTGACGTCTAGGTCCTCTACGTAATATTTCCGTCATAATTATTCCGATTATTAACTTTTAAAAATACGACAGGATTTAATATGAACCCGTCTCTTATAACCTCAAGAATTTTAATTCCCGTAGTAAATATAAATTATGACCGTATATTACTTCCTCTTATCATAATCTCTTGTCCCTCTGTGTTGCGATAACTAGTTTACTTTACAAACATTTTTAACGTTGATTTACATCACACACACATACATAGACTAGAGATAAAACCGTACAACGTGGTGACGCCCGAATAACGAAATTATTTTGTCAATAAAAAAGACGAATTAAGGGAAAAAAATGTCTGATAGTCTGATTATATGCAAAAATGAAAACACTTTTTAAATTAAAAAATACAGGAATCTAACACCGCGTGGTTTTTTTTATTTTACCATAAATATCGAAACGCCTAGAGTAAATTTCAAAGAAAATCGTATGTAAATGGAAAACGCGTGGCTTTCCGCAAAAAAATTACCGACCGCCAATTACTAATAAAAAAACTAGAAATTTAACTTCATAGCTTTGTTCCAACCGATGTAACGTTTGCTGAAGTGTCCTGATCTTGGCGCCAATAAATAAAAGCGCCCAAACCGTAATAGTTATTATTCTCAAAAGATTAAAAAACAATTTTGGAATCGTTCTTATGAGGTTATTTCAATACTACACTGGAACGATTCTAAAACATTAGGTTGGAACATACCTATTACTTCATCCATATAACTATTAGATAATATTAGATAATATAATATAGCTATGATAGTTTATTATACATAAACTTGCCCTCTTCAAACTCCGTCATATGTACCCAACTCCTTTTAAAGTTGTTCTGCATGGATTAATCGAACATAAGCAAATAGGATCTAAAACCTTATTTTGTGGAATTTTAATTTTATTACTCCCTGTTGTACCACATATTAGTATTTTTGGTCACATAGTCGCCTATTCTAAATACTGCACCAAACATAATAATAAATAAAAATGGCTACCATTATTATGCCCTTGTAATTGTTTGCACATTGTACTCCCTTCAAACTTGACCTTGTTCCATGTTTAAGTATAACCAACATCATGTCAGTGGGAAGCATCTTTATGATCATAGTCTTTTTTTAACCAGTCAAACTTCTTCTTATATTATTGCACAATAAAAAGATTGACTCCCACAGGAAATATTTGACTTGGCAATGCGCGCTTACAAAATTCCCGAATAATTATCGCGCTCTTCTAAAACTAGGCCCCGGAAATCGTAAGGTATTCCAAATAGCGTTGCGACGACCGCCTTAAATCACGTGCGGCCTCACCATCATCACCATCACTCGCTTTTTTTTATCGACTCCGCACACACACATAGACGAACCGTAAGGTATTTATAAAGACCCGTTGATCTAATACCGAGTGTTACCCGAAATAGACGCCGCCAAGGCGAAAAGGAATCATATGAGAGAGGCGATGCGTACGTACGTCAAAAGTGAAGCGGCATGTGATTTTGCCGGGATGATATAAACCTGCTAAGACAAAAATAGATGTATCGTTAACAATAACTCGACGCGACAGGGACCGTTGGAATTTTGTTGTTGGTCTAGGTTACGTCCACGTTCCACCATAGATTATACTTTGGTAACTTCAGAATCGAGGTAGACAGTTTAATTTTGGCTCTCTGTGCACCTATACAACCAAATCAAACTCGGACTGAAAGGAATAACTACTCTTGAAAATACCCGCAAAACTTTTCCAAAATTCTTCTTTAATTTTAACCATGTTGGACTTCTGAACTAAGGACGCTCGGCCATTACCGATCCTCTGCGAAATTCTTAGAGCAGTGCACGTAACCCCACTTTTTAACGATTGCAGACGCGGATCGAAGTGACAGCGAGGAATCCAACACCAATTCGTCGGCCATATCGAGTCGCTTCAACGGCAGCTACCACCAGACCTCCGCCAGATACTACGGCAGATATTCGTATTCCAGTCAGTCGACGCCGCGCAGGAAATACCAATACGACAGCAGTACCAAGAGTACCAGATCCAGCAGTACCACCAGCGAGACCAAGATCACGTTCAACGACGGTAAGCTGATTTGGTTATTTTTGGTTTGGTTTTATTATTCGTTAACGTCGCGATGTCGAAAACTTGAAATTCGAAAATCTAGCCGAACCAATTATTTTTTATTTAAACATTCATTTAAAGAAATAAATTGTAATAAATTGTCTTATTACTTTACACCTTTTCGAAATAGGCTATATATGTCACGTTCAGTTTATTAAAGTGTAAATTTTAATCCCTAAGACTTTTATTAAATGTTTTGATCCTATTTTAAACATCTTGTTTGTGATTCTCAAGCCATTGGCGTAGTTAAGGTTGCATAAAAAAGTTTCTAATACAGATTTAAAAAATCGTATCCTTCGAAATAAAATCTAATTTGTTTTGTCAATGCTTAATACAAAAAAAAACATTTCTAAATCAGTTAAAAATACAGAAGTTCTTTTCAATATAAATAGGCGGACGTCAGATCAGGAAACTCTGGTGGCGGTCCCTACAGTAGATCAGACTAGTGTGGCCCATTATGAACCTCATGCAATTCGACGTTGCTGTTTAAATACAGGCCGTTTAAAAATGAAACATCGCTGTTTTAACTACTTATTCCAGTTTCTATAGTGCAGATATAAGTTGTTTTCCATAAGACTCCATAACTGATTCGCTTTTAAAGGTATTTTTTCCTGTTTGACTATTTTCTTTTAATGTACAAGGTGTAGCGGTTTTCGCATATCATACAGGGTATACGAGATATTCCGCCTTGTGCTAATACGTACACCAAGTGTCCGAATTTTATCGCTATTGACCTGACATTTGTAACAGTTGAAATGAGATCCGATTAAAGGAAACTATTTTTAAAAAATTTCAATAAAACGGGGAAGAGTACAGAGTCTACTAACCTTTGTTTCAGGAGATCTATAGTAACAATAATGATAATATAATTTTATTGTAAATACAATACGAGAACATATCACAAAAGGCGAAGTTGAAGCCATATTTCTTTACTTAATGCACACTTGCCGTTCATTAATTATTTTGCTATGATTGGAGTTATTAACAGCTAAGCCTGTATAATATACAAACTAAAAATAAAAAGCAATACAAAGCAAAAGCAAAAATTCATTTCAAGGAAATTTAAAAGGCCAATTTTCTTGGCAACAATTTATTTTATTGTGGTATAAGGTTATGTTTTAAAAATTTTCTAATTGTCTTTAATTGTGAGCTTTTAGAACTTGCAAAAAGGTTTAAATACAATAAATATAAAAAAGTACCCATAAAATTTCGTTATTTTTGTGTTTTCGAAAAAATACTACATGACCTTTTAACATTAATTTCTCGGTCCTTAAATTTTTTGCTGTGTAAAAACTTCTATTTGCGTTTTAGGACTGCCATTAAAATATAATCATTTCGGGATGCCCCGTATTTTCTACGATCCGGCGTAAACGCGTTCAAATATTGGCCCTACGAATTTGTCGCACGTCGAACCAGTTTTGGCTAGCTCGGTACAGCTTCAGCTAAAGTGATTAACACACGACAGTGTTTGCCGTTAAATTTGAGAGCCGCGGCTGCAGTGGACCGCGATAATTTGTTACGAAATGTTAAAATGAGAACTGTCGCACGCCAGCGGCGTCGCACCTTAGGTTTCGATACTTACGTTTTTTTTTTAAATAATAATATGTCGGGTATTTATTTAAAACAAGTTTTTTTTTAAATAAAATGGTTAATAATTAATTATTAATTGGAAGCGAAACATTGTTGATAGCAAATGTTTACTTTTTGAAGAAATATCCGGAATATCATCAAAAGTAAATATAATGAGTGTTTTGAGGGTTATTTTTTTAACCAGGGAAGCAGATTGAGTTAAACTACCCCCATCATTATCCTAAACTAAATTTAAAGAAAAACATACATAAAAAATGACATAAAAAATATGTTTTGTTTTTAATTTTATATTTTATTTAGAAACTTTTTGCTCCTGCAATTGTTTCACTTACCGCTTCCAAATAAAACATATTTGACATTGCTCAGTTAATTTGAATATAATACCACTAATTTATTCAAGCAAGCTTATCGTCTTTGCACACAAGCATATCTGAGTCGTAGATCTCCTCGTAGCTTATTTAACCGGTTCTCATCAATGGCAGTTGGGTTACGAGTACCAGGAAAATTGCGTCAGAATGAAATACCGATGCATCAATTGCATGGAGGATGTCAAAAGAACAACAGTTATAACCATACCACTTACAGAGGGTTCAGACTCTTTTACCAAGAGATTTTCGGACAAAGCTAGTTTCTTAACAATATCAGTTTGCCGTTAACGTTTGATCATTTAATTCGCCTAGATCTTCTACTTTTAAGATTAACTGGTGAGTCGTGTTTTCATTTTCCACAAGAAGAATTATATCTTCTGCTATAAAATGTCTTTCCGTTAACTAGAAAAGACATGCGTGATAGTACCCCAACACATTTCGGATTAAATGTGAAAAATAGAGATTTAAATCGTTTGAGTCTACACTACCCCAATACTATCGGATAATTGCGCTTGTAATGTCATAAGAAATAATCCAGGCATATTCCTGTATCCGTATCAGAGACTCATCCATTTTCTACGCTTAATTTTCAAAGAAAGTTCCACAGGCTACTGTGCGTCGGTTGCTGATAAATCGAACTTGCTGACGTTTCAGGAAGAGTCCAGAAGTTTTGGTTAGTTTTGGTTAGTTTTGGTTAGTTATAACTATAAAAATTTTATTTTTATTTTAAATTAGCTGTGTTTCTTATTTGTTGTGTTTTTATTTGAATTACATTGTTTTAATAAAATGTTTATACTAAACCATTTATCCACTCATCATCTCTCTCTGGTGTCACTTTGCCTAGGTTTTTGAGGTTGAGGTTCACAGGCGTTTTTTCAGATAAAAAGTGACCTTGATCCAAATCAACATGGCTTTCACAAAAAACTTTCAGTTCTTACGAACCTGGTTCCGTTTATTCTATGACGTCAATTTTTCCATGCATCTTGGTTTTGGGACGTGCGCTGTGAACTCTGATGCTAAAACTTTTTTCAACTATTGCAAAGTTATGTGACAGAGAACTCAATTTGTTGTTGTCGGTAGTAAAAAATCTCGGGTGCCCCCCCCCCCCCCCCCAGAGATCTTATCTACACCCTTTTCTTTTTATTTTTTTTTATGTTAACCTTGGCTTTCACAAAAGAGATTCCGTCACATTTTTGCACATATGAGTAAGGATTCTGTAGATATTAACTTAATGCTTGATAATAATCAGCTGAAAAGAATTAACCAAGTAACCAAGATCTTGACTCAAAATTAAATTTTAAGGCTCATATCGAAACTACTGGCAGTCAGTAATTATTGTGTATAATAGTATGGTAAGGTCTGTTCTAGAATTCACAGCTCGGAACAATATTTATAGTAAACAAATTGTCAAAATAGAAAACATACAAAAAAAGAAGAAGAAGAAAGAAAAAAAAAGAAACTGTTATGATGTTGGTTTTCTTTACAAAGTTGTAAATAATCTTGCAGAAGAAGAAGAAAGAAAAAAGAAGAAACTGTTATTATGTTGCTTTTCTTTACAAAGTTGTAAATGATCTTGTAGATTCTTCTTTTCGAGATGCAAAGCTAACCTATATCAGGTGGGAACGAGATTGATATTTTTATGAAAAAATGGCAGGAGGCAAGAAAGTTTCTATCGATTTTTTTTCCATATCATTGCGTAAGGTTTTGTTTAAATTTAATTAAGAAAAATAATAGTTTAATTCAATCCCCTTCGCTCATTAAAAAAAAAACATATATATAAAGGAAGTGTTTTTTATAACGTAATATTTTCGTAATATTTTATTGTTTTATCTATTTTCAATTTTAAGATAAAAAATGAAAACCTCATTTTTCGTCCATATTTGTAGCTCGATATTTTTTATATGACAAACTACCCTTTGTCTTAGATGATGGGCTGGCGACTAGCAAACCTTTAAAACCCAAACGCATAATGAACATTATGATGCCTATTTTTTATTTTTTAAGTAACAGCCGCATTATATTTTTATAACAAAAAATAATTAATAACATTTCAGCATCTTTCATGGTTACACAAAAATTTTACTAACAATATGATTAAAATTAAATTAAAAATTAAAATTAAATTCAAAATTCATCAGCGAAGGCTGGAAATAGGCTGTGACATAGTGGGCGCCACAAAACTGATTACGTACCCATTTTTAGAATTGAAAAAAATCTAAAGGGCTCTGTTTCTGTGTCCCAGATTCGCCTCTTTATACAGAGATCTCCGCTTCTATGATACCTGCAGTAAAGGTTAAATGGGAAAAGTTTTAGTGGAAACTCAGTGCATTTGATAACCAGCCTCAGATTTAAGATCGGTCAATTGGTTTGGGGAATATCGGCGAGTTCATTTTTCGCCAGTAAATTGAAAACCGCTTTATTCACAACTCTCAAAATGTGACATTATTCAGTTGTTTTATTGCAACCTGCCTTAACTTTAATTTTTCTTATGGTCGTCATATTGGAATTTTTGGATTTTTGGAGAGAACGAAAAATTTCTAGTTCAGCGATGTTTCTTAAGTGCGCAAAACATTTTATCACACTTTGTAAAGTTTATTTAATTTTTTTAAATTTATTTAAGTAATTATTTTACAAGTAGGCCTTGATTTATTTGTCACCTTTTTTCCATTTAAGGAGTGCTCTGACTTTAAGGTCAAATAGTTCAAAGAGTTAAAGTTGTGTTTTAATAACTACCACGTTTTCCCTTATTCAAAAATTAATACTTTTTCAAATCATGCACATTTCAGTTTAACGAAAAAAATATTTCATTAAATGGTCCGATGCATTGGCCTTCTAAATCCCCTGACCTTTCGCCCTCGGATTTCTTCCTCTGACGTCATACAAACAATGAGGTCTATTAATCCTGATCTTCCCAAGATTATATACAAAAACCTTAAGTTTTGGACACATTTAAAAACATTTTCGGAATTACAACAATTGCCGAAAATGTCTCTATGCAAATGT